CATCTCTGGGCACCCTGTGCCAGTGCCTCAGCACCCTCACAGGGAAGAGCTTCTGCCTAACGTCTGATCTATGAGATGATTTAGAATAATGCCTCCCCAGCTGCAGGCTGAAGACTTAAAGACCTGCTACTCACCAGTGCCCCAAAACTACAAACCTTTTAGCACACAACACAGACCAGTACAAATCACAGTGCTCTCCTCCTTCCTCTCCACGTTACCTTGAGAAAGAACTGCTTTCATTTCAAATAACTCAATCATCCTTGCAAACAAGTTAGTGTTGTCTGGTTTTACAGTTTAAAGAATCGATTTTGTCCATAGGTTATAGAAAAATATACATCTAATTCATCCAAGTCAGTCATAAAAATGGAGGTTTATGAGTGGCTTTCTATTTAAGAAAGCATGTTTTCTCTCTCAGTCCTGCTCACATCACCCCAATTCCTCCTCTATCTCCCAACTGCCCTGGTCCTCCCACTGCAAGATATCATCACACAGCTCCATCTTCTGCCCTGAGAGTAGGGTAACAAACAGCTCCAGGTGGGCTGCCATCCTGAATTAAAACAGTAGCTGTGAAACTGCACAAGGTTTTGTTGCTTTCACTCCACAACAGCCCTGGAAAGTGGCGGGACCCAGCAAAGAGGAAATGGACCTCGCAAAGCAGCACTGCGCCTCTGAGCCATGCAAGGAGGAAAGTTTGAAGGGCTCTTTGCCAAGCAGAATCTAAACTTTTAACCTTAGTAGATGGATTCAAACACATTGGCTGCCCTGAATTCACCCAAAGAAGTGAATGCACAAATCTTGAAGGCAACCTCCAGCCTCAGCGTTACGATGATGCCATGAAAGCCCTTTCTTAGGGGATGTGCAACTCATACACAAGCCCATCACAAAATACACAAAACACTTCCAAGTGTTACAGATCTCTGATCCAAATCAGCATTTTTTTGCTAATACAAACCTTTCCTGTACAACTAAACCAAGAGGAGAAGAGTCCTTTGGAGGTTTTTTAGCCTTTTCACACAGCATTTACTCAAAATTCAGTGAAAAATCACTGCTCAGACTGAAGTCATCCCAGGCTCCTAGTGCATGTGCTGCTGTCAGCCTTTGCAAGGCTGCAATATGTCATGTAAGGGCACGGCATAAATGCACAGCATGGTTTGTTCCTTCCTGCTGCCTGATTTCTCATGTCAGACAATCTCTCCACTGACAGTGTCACCGAGTGATTAGAAATTAATGAACAACCATATTTATTGTAGAACATGCACTGTGAGCATCTCAGGGTGCTGAGCACCCCTCCGCATCAGAGCTTTAGTGATCACTGTCCTGTCACTTTTGGTTTTGCTATTTTTGCTTTAAGTCTAAAACCAGGAAATTAAACATTCTGTGCAATGCTGAAGACCCACAATAAATAAAATGAGAAAGCTGCAAAAGCAACCTAAAGATTTCCACAGAGCTAACCAAAGCAAAGAGTGTTTCTACAACTTTCTCATTGTCTTTTCCTTTTAGATGTTAAATTACATGCTATTGATTCATTTTAAACTCTTAATTGTATACAAAGGATAAAAGATTTTCAATATAGCTGCCTAAGTATATACACTGTGAATTTAAGGAGCCAAAAAAAAGCAAAACACCTCCCCAAACATAGCCATGTTAATAAAAATTTCTCCATTTAAATACTTCTCTGGGGTTTGACAGCTCTGCCAGTCCTCTGTCAAAAGCCAGCCAAGCTGCACCCTCTGCTCCTAGCAGGAAATTTAAGTCTTGCCCAACTGTACTGTGAACCGATTCTTTCTAAATCCACTTAGTTAAACGTTGAAAATTCCTCAGCAAACACACCTTAATCCTGTTAGATGTAAGCCCCTTGTAAAATGTTCTTATGTGGGCACACAGATGCTTCCATTTAAAAATTATCAGAAAAGGAGCCCAACCTGGGGTATTTAAGCTGTATGTAAGAGGTGTGTAAGCACAGCACTGAGAAAGAGACAGGTCTGACAGTCCCAAACGCCTGCTAGGGAAGCTTCAAGGCTCCCAAAGCTGCGATAGCACTGAAAGAGATGATAAATACTTACTCTGCCCCTATTTAGAATAACTACTTATATATTAGAACTTCTTCAAAATGTAATAAACAAGTACATGAATTTAAGAACCATGCACCGTAACTGTCTTACAGTACATCAAGAGTTGAAAAGAAAACCCTACCAACAGCCACAAAAAACTTTGTTCTTATCAGCTTTAAATACTTGTACTAAATCAACGCATCTGAGCAAAACTATTCCTGCAGGAAGTGGGAGGAGGGAAATCACACCCTTACTCTGTAGTTTCCGTAGTATTTTCATCAGCTACATACGACTTCCCTGCTCAAGCCTCTCAGTGACCCAAGCTTAAAGGATTACTCTAAATTTCATTAGATTATTCATGTATGATGATTTTCTACTATCACAACAGAGATCCCAAACAATAAAATACAACCTGTAGACACTGTTCAAGCAGACTCACATACACAATAGTTTCTATTTCATCTTACAAAACTGAAAAGCCTCTAATAATGAGGAGAAAACTCAGAGAACAGCAGCTGAAACAAGAACCCCAAATCTGCTCTTTGGAAGAGCTGTGGAGCACTTCCGTCTGGGGTAAGGAAGCAGAAAACACAGAAGCACTGCTTTAAATGACAGGGTAAATATTGACACCATGGCTCTCACTCCCGTTTCAGTTAAAACTTATTTTATCTCAGTATGACATCATGAGGTTACCCTGAATTAACACCAAGTGCTTCAACACTCCAGTGACAGCCAGAGCAAACAAATCCAGACAGCTTGTTGAAAAAAAAATAAGCTTATTGTAATTCATTTAGTGGTGCCTTAAAAATAAATCTATTTACTGGTAACTCACAGCTCTGCAAAGCTGATATACACAGAACATATTTAAAGTGACATTATGAAGAACAGCTCTTAGCACTCAGTTTAGGAGAGTAATCAAGAAAATGCCTAACCTAAAGCATACAAGTAGAGCTGCTTCCATGGGTCAAGCACCATCCTACAGCATCGAGGCCAACCACCAGAAGCAATCTGCAGGTATCAGGCTTTCCAGTTGAATACCTGCTACACCATTTAGTATCTGGAAAGGCTCCTCCAAGACAGAATTAGAGCAGCTGAAAATTAAGAAATGTGTCATTTAGTCTGTAAGGCTAAAATGTTCTTATATGGGCACATAAGCATCTAAGCATCCGACTCCTCACTCCAACAGGCTACTCTATGGCTATGGACAGGGTATTTGGTGACTCTACACTGCAGCTTCTTGTCTGAAAAAGGAAGATGGAAATAATCTTGCATACCAGCATGAAATGCTGCAAGGATACACATGGCTGTTCACACTGCTGGGATTTAGTTAAATTAACTAAAATCATGTTTAAAAAAATATCTTGTTGGTCTCAGATAATGTTATGGGGTCATCTTAATACAAAGCCAACCATGGCACCTGCCTCAGAAGAGTGATCCCAGATCCACCCAGCTTCTCTGGGCCCCCTGTGCCAGAGCCTCAGCACACTCACAGGGAAGAACTTCTGCCTAAGAGCTCATCTCAATCTCCCCTCTGGCAGGTTAAAGCCATTCCCCTTGTCCTAAGCCTCTCTCCAGGTTTCTTGTAGCCCTTTTTATTTAGGCACTGGGAGATGCTCTAAGGTCTCTCTGGAGCCTTCTCCTGGAGAACCAGGCTGACCCAGCCCAGCTCTCTCAGCCTGGCTCCAGAGCAGAGCTGCTCCAGCCCTCTCCAAGTGATGGCCTTGAGACAGTTCAGACCTTATTAAACTTCTTCCTTCTTCTCGTAAGATTTCACAGTGCACAAGAGAGTTTTTGACATAAAAATTACAATCATCCAAGGATATTACTGCACAGCTGTGCTCCCAGATGAACACTGTCATAACACCCACCATCCCCACATCCAAGATGTCCACTGATGAAGAAGAGTGAACAGCACTTGTGGCCACGCAGCTGCTGCAGTCCACCACAATGCTCTGCTCTGCTAAATAAAGCAATCGTGTAAGGATACGCTCCCCACTTCAGCAGCTGTGCTTGGCTGGGGTAGACGTGCCTATAGCACAGACCCTGGACATTGGCCACAATGACTCCTAGAAGCACTTCAGGTGTCAAGCACCCTGCTGGGCTCTTCCCAGCATGCTGGAGGTAACTACTCAGACTCCTCACAGCGGGGCTTCTCACTAGACCAGAGCTCAGTACTTTGCCCTGATAAAACTAATAAATCAATGCAGGTGAAGCCTATTGGTGCTACTTCAACAGCAGTAACTTCTCCTTGAGACCTGGTTCCAAAAGGCTTTTAACATTGTATCCCCACTTAACACACAGGTTCATTTTAACTTCAGGTCAAGAAGTCATCAGCTGCAGCAGGACAGAGCAGCCAGAACAGAAACTGCAGGTGCTACCTCACACGTAAGATAGGGTCCAACCACCGAGGTACAGCTGTGCTGCCTGAAGCCCTCTCCAACATCAGACACAAGCCCCCATTCCTCACCGCTGCCCCAAAGGAAGGCTCCCAGAGCACTCCCAGAACTAGCACTGCAGCAGGGCCAGGAGCTCAGAGCAAACCATAGGCTCCAGTTCAAGCACTTCTTTTCAACCTACTTGTTAAACAAACTACACAGCTCTGGATTAAGGGCCATGTACCCACAGCTACTTTTAAGCTGAAACAGCAAGGATGACAACTAACTAGCAAAATGGTTTTGCAAAGCCATGCCTTCAACCTGACAACACTTCTCTATTTACTTTTAAGTAATATAACCAAACTTAAATTTCCAATAATCCTAAAAATGCCAAAGGATAGTCCAAGCATCAGGGATTATCTCACTTTATTTGGGGAAAAAATTGACAACATGAAGCAGAACGTGGAGTAAACCTGGCTGAGATTCGCACCATTTGTCTTTGAAGGGTACAGTTGGTTATCCCAGGCTTGCTCCAAGGGGAAACTGCCCCAAAACCTCATTGATCTGTCAAGAGGTCTCCTCCATCTATAGAAAGTCCTGGATAATGCTAAATATTAGGAAGAACAAAACCTGAAACATTTGCCATCCGCTCCAGCTACCTCTGCAATCTTCCATAGGCCCAACATCAAACATTCTCCAGTAAATCAACCCCTTACGGCAGAGTCTTTAGCAGAGATGTGTTATGTAGAAAAGGTAAGGGCATCCTGAAGAAAGTTAAATATGAGCTGCACACAAAGAATACAGTTTTCTTTGGGCTAAGGATACAGTTAAGAAGAAACAGTGCGATAAGTATGCACAACTACTACTGAGTAAACAGAGGATTCGCTGTACGCTTGATGTGCACATGGGGAGAAAACAAGGCAGGCAGGGGTTGAGGGCATTTCAGGGCAAAGCAGATACAACAAACCCAGAGCACGGCTATGGGCACTATCACCAACAGCAAGAGCAGCTACAGCCAAGGTGCAGAGAACACAGATACCATGCCAAACCCAGGGAGGCACTAATTTCCAAAGCACAACTTTTTACATCACGGTAAAGCGCTGCCTTTGCCGGCCCCGTCACACCAAGACCCCGGCATGCCGCACTCCTGGCATCCCCAGGCCCCTGGTTTCTTGCAGTCACTTTCCCATTACAACTTTCAGGCGCAGACAGGAGGCAGCAAAAACCCCGTCCCTGAACAAACCACCACCACCTTTCGCCCCCCAGGCAGAGATTTTGTCCCCACTTTGCCCACCGGCCCTGAGTGACCGCAGACCCCGCTGCTCCCGGGCCCTCGCGGGGACTCACCAGCACGTCCCTGAAGAGCAGCTGAGGCGCCGAATGCACGGTCCAGTCGACGGCCCCACCGTCGGGGATCTTGATGCGGATCACCAGCGCCTGGCTCTCCATGGCGCGGGAGGGGCCGCAGAGCAGCCAGAGC